CTATCATCTATCTATCTATCTATCTATCTATCTATCTATCTATCTACATCTCTATCTATTATCTATCTATCTATCTATCTATCTATCTATCTATCATCTATCTATCTATCTATCTATCTATCTATCTATCTATCTATCATCTATCTATCTACATCTCTATCTATCTACATCTATCTATCTATCTATCTATCTATCTATCTATCTATCTATCTATCTATTATCTATCTTATCTATCTATTATCTATCTATCTATCTATCTATCTATCTATCTATCTATCTATTATTTATCTATCTATCTCTCTCTCTATCTTTCTATCATCTATCTATCTATCTATCTGTTATGTCTGGGCATGTGGGCGCAAGAACGGAGACGAGGCATCAAAGAAGTGACTCCAACTCTTTATTAGTGACTTCAGAACAGAGCAAAAGACTTGGGCAGCAGCAGCTCCTTTTATAGAGCTGGCTGCTGTCACAACACCCAATAGTTTGAGTTTGCCGCGCTGGGAGCGTCCAATCAGCGGCGACCTGCTGTCAGCCAATCAGATCAGCCAAAAGCGACCAATCACGATCCGCTATCAGCGGGCCAATCAGAAGTGCAGGTTTACAAACCTGTCGTGGAAGGAAAACTATTAGTATTGCAAGCCAACGAGCTTGCTTAGTTCGGAACACCCCTCCCCCCTAGGTTCCGTCTCAAGGGTGGGGTGATGTATTCTCGCAGGTAGGCAGGTCGTCTCACCTGTCTACCTGATCTGCGTTGCTCTACCAGTCTTTGCCTGGACTCTGGCTCCGGTGGGCTGTTCGTTGAACTCGGTGGCAATGAGGGTCTGGCTTCTCCGCTGGGTGACTCGGGGTTGTCATCTCTACTCCCATCAAGGCTGTCATCCGGATTCTCTGGGTTTGCTGACGCCGCATTGCTGCTTCGTGGAGAGACGACCATCTGCTCCGGCTCATCTTCGGAAGGTGAATATCCTAGGTTTGGTTGCGCTGATTGCTGGGTTTCGAGTACTGGGTCGGATACTAGTTCTTTTCCGGCCCCCTCGATTTCCCTTCCCCCCCAGGTTTGAAGTTCAGGGCTTGTGACGGGGGTAGGTGCCAGTCTGGAGCGTAGTTGGTCGATATGGCGCTTCCACAGTTTCCCATCAGCAGTTTGTAAACAGTAGAAACGGGGCCCCGTAAGTTGAGTTATGGTAGCGGGGACCCACAATGGGTCACTGGAAAAGTTTTTTGCAAAAACTGGGTCACCTACCTTGAACGTGCGATACTTGCTGCTGGAACCCAGGGGCTTTTCCGGCGTATAGGCGGAGTGTAGGCGGTCAAGGTGTGATCGAAGTTTCCTGTCCATCAGGAGTTCGGCTGGGGTTTTGTTCGTGGTGCTGTTTGGAGTAATATGTTGGAGGAGAAGCATCCTGGTCACCTTGTCGTGGATGTTCCCGTGCTCCATCTTGTGTAAGGTTTTCTTTGTGAATTGGACCATTCATTCAGCCCTGCTGTTGGCCGCAGGGTGAGCCGGCGATGTTAAAGCGTGGCATATTCCCCGGTCTGCTAGGTACTGTTCAAATGCCAAGGCAGTGAATTGGGGGCCATTGTCTGAGACCAAGACATCTGGCAACCCGTGTGTAGCAAATAGTCTGTTTAGCTTTTTAATGACTGCCTCTGTGTTGGTGCTCTTCATTTTGTGGACCTCAAGCCAGTTAGAATAGGCATCCACAGTTATGAGAAATGTATGCCCCTTGGTAGGTCCCGCAAAATCGATGTGGATACGTGACCAGGGACCCCGGGGTGCTTCCCATTCTGTCGGTGGTGCTTTTGGTGGAGCGGAGCGAGTTTCCTGGCACTTGTTGCAGGTTGCCACCCAGGTTTCTATTTGTTTATCTATACCTGGCCACCAAGCGTAGCTCTGTGCCAGTGCCTTCATTCGCACGATGCCCGGATGTCCATCATGCAATAGTTTTAGGACCTTATGTTGTAGTCTCTCTGGGATGATGACTCTGTCGCCCCACAGGACACATCCTTTTTGGGAGAACAGTTCTGTCTGCCTGTGTTTGAAAGGCTTAAAGGTGTCGTTGGGTTGATTGTCAGGCCAACCTCTTTCCACCCAGCTGAGGACTCATGACAAACAAGGGTCCTTCCTTGTTTCCGAGGCGATGTCTTGTGCAGTCAGCGGTGGTGAAGGAAGTGTCTCAATTTGTAGTATAGATAAGGTTGGAGCTGGGTCATCTAGGACTTCTGGTAATGGAGAGTGGCTCAAAGCGTCTGCGTGGGGAATGGCTTTTCCCGGTCGGTGTAGCAGTTGGTAATCATATGCGGCTAGAAACTCTGACTAGCGTGTCATTCTTGGCGATAAGATGTGGGGAGTCGGTTTATTTCCCGCCAAAATGCCAAGTAATGGTTTGTGGTCGGTGATTATAGAAAAGGATCTTCCATATACATACTCATGGAATCGTTTGATCGCAGACACAATAGCGAGAGCCTCTTTATCAAGTTGGCTATAGTTTCTCTCAGTTTTAGATAAAGTTCTTGAAAAAAATGCAATAGGTGCCTCAGTACCGTTTGGCAGGACGTGGCTCAGGATGGCTCCTACCCCAAACGGTGAGGCGTCACAGGTGACAGTTAAAGGTAAAGTCTCGTTATATTGTATCAATACAGCATCTGATGTTAGAAGGTCTTTTACTTGCTGAAAGGCTCGCTCTTCTCGATGTCCCCAGACCCAGGAAGCCTTCTTGTCGAGGAGTCTATGCAGGGGTTCACAACAGTCGCCTTCTGGGGTAGAAAGATGTTATAAAAGTTGATGAGTCCCAGGAAGGCTTGGAGATCTGTTTTGTTTTTAGGTCTCGGGGTGTTTTTTATTGCAGCCAATTTTTTTTCAGTAGGGTGAATTCCCTGTTTGTCAAGAAGGTACCCAAGGAATTCAACCCTCTCAGTACACAGTTGACACTTGTCCTTCTTGACCTTCAGGCCAGCGTCTTTGAATTTTTGGAGGACCAATCGTAGTCATTTTTCTAGTAGGCTTCTAGTGGGGGTGGCTATTAGGACATCATCGAAGTATGGTACAACCCCTTTTATGCCTTGTAGCAATCTCTCCATCAGACTTTGGAAGATGCCCGGTGCTACACTCACTCCGAATTGGAGTCTATTACACTTGAATGCACCTCTGTGCGTGACTATAGTTTGGGCTTCTGCAGTCTCTGCGTCTACGGGCAACTGCTGGTACGCCTGGGCTAAGTCCATTTTGGGAATATTTTTCCGCCCCCAAGGGAGTGAAGAAGGTGTTGGACCACAGGCACAGGGTAAGCACTCTGCTGAAACGCGTGATTTAGGGTGGCCTTGTAATCCCCACAAATTCTCAAAGATCCGTCAGGCTTTATGGGGGTCACAATTCGAGTCTCCCATCAGGCGTGGTCAATCGGTTCCAACACGCCCTGGGCTATTAATTTGTCCAATTGTTCATCAATCTTTGGTTTAAGTGCAAAGGGCACTCAACGAGGCTTAAGGCGAATGGGCGCAATATCGGGGCTGAGATTAAATGATATGGGGGACCCCTTGTACTTGCCTAGCTTCTCGGAAAAAACGTCCTGGAATTCCTGGATGAGGGCAGCTTCCCAGTCATCGCTTTCGGTGTGATAGATGCCAGCTAGTTCAATCCCTAGCGGCGCGAACCACTGCAAGCCTAACAAGCTGGGCTGATCTCTATCGACGACGGTGAGTGGTAGGGTTGCAGTGTGGTCTTTGAAAGAGACTTGGACGTGTCTGGAACCGGCAACTGGAATTCTGTTTCCTTGGTAGTCTTTTAATATGACTTTCTGAGTGCTGAGGTCCTGGCGACGGATGTCAGGGATCAGCTGTCTGTGGGTTTTCCAGGAGACCATTGATAGGGATGACCCGGAGTCGACTTCCATAACGCATGGTCGATTCTCTATGGTGACCTTCACTCGGATTTTCCTTGCATCAAGGGATGAAGCGTGGCTGATGGTGATGGTTTGGTGCGCCTCTTCTCGTCTAGTAGAAGTGGCTGGTGTTCGGTTTCTGTAGTAGTGGTGCCATGGGTTGCTTGGGCGGTCCTGATTCACTGGTGGGGTGCCTGATGTCTGCCGGAAATTATTTTCTCTTCGGTTTGGGCTGGACCCTCGCTTGCTTCTGCAGGCCTTTGTAATGTGGCCCCTCTTTCCACAGGAACGGCAGAGGGCGTCTAGGAATTTGCAGTCTGATCGCGGGTGATTTCCCCCGCATCCGGCACATTGATACGAGGGCTTACGATTCCGCTGGTCTCGCTGATCACATTCTGACCTGAGTCTGTTGACCTCCTCTTCCTCACTTTCTGATGAGGATTCGAGGTCTTCATGATGGGTGGTCGTTGTGTGCCTCTCGGAAAGAGGCGTAGTGTCACTGGCGAGTTGGCGGTGCGGTGCGTTTGCTCGGCGCATTCGAGCTGCTGACTTCCTGGTTGCTTCTGCTGCAGTAGCATCGGCGATGACATCTGCGAGGCCGATGTCCCCCTTCGCCATAATCTTGCTCTGGGTCGTGGGGTCTTTTAGACCCAGGACAATTCGATCTCTCATGGCTTCTTCGAGGTTTGCGAAGCCACAGAGTCCTCCCAGGTTTCTGAGGTCTGCGATGAAGTCCCCAACACTTTCGCTTTCCTGTTGGTCCCTCTGGTAAAACTCGTGTCTCCTTATGAGTGTTGGCAGCACTGGGCATAATGGGCCCGGAGGATTGGGGCGAGGTTGTCCCAGTCCATTGTCTTGACTTCCGCTGGTTTTGCAAGTGCCTTTGCCATCTTAAAAACGGTGGGACCACAATGGGTCAGGAATACAGCTCGTTTCTTGCCAGGCGTAGCATTCTTTAGATTGTTGGTCTCCAGGAACATCTGGAACCTATCCATATATGAGTCCCAGTCTTCGTTAGCCGGATCGAATGGAGCGGGTGGTATAGCGCTGCTAGTCATTCTGCCGCTTATTGGTGCACTCTCAGCCACGTGCTCTGTTAGCGTTCGGTGATCAGTCAGCTCTATCGTCTCCGAATCCCATCCTCGTCGCCAGTGTTATGTCTGGGCATGTGGGCGCAAGAACGGAGATGAGGCATCGAAGAAGTGACTCCAACTCTTTATTAGTGACTTCAGAACAGAGCAAAAGACTTGGGCAGCAGCAGCTTCTTTTATAGAGCTGGCTGCTGTCACAACACCCAATAGTTTGAGTTTGCCGCGCTGGGAGCGTCCAATCAGCGGCGACCCGCTGTCAGCCAATCAGATCAGCCAAAAGCGACCAATCACGATCCGCTATCAGTGGGCCAATCAGAAGTACAGGTTTACAAACCTGTCGTGGAAGGAAAACTATTAGCATTGCAAGCCAACGAGCTTGCTTAGTTCAGAACACTATCTATCTATCATCTATCTATCTATCTACTGGCTTTAATATATGTGTGTGTGTGTGTGTGTGTTTGTATGTAGCTGACAGGTTAACATCATTTCTTAGAGATAAGCAAACCAAGCCAGGTCTGGTAAGGGAGGAAACAACAGGAATTAAACCTCTATTGACCAACATGACTGAAGCAAAACCAAATGGTGGGAGGCAATTGGAAGGGCCTATTATGCATGCAAGGGTTAAATTGATTGATGATATATAAAGGCATAGATCTCTGTAATGGTAGTTTGATACTCTGATGATGTCCGCAGAGACTGAAGAAAGTTTAGTATTATTGTATGTATGTATGTATGTATGTATGTATGTATGGTATTCAGCTTTGTTCGGGTATTTTCCCACGTCATTATAGTTGTGCTTTTAAAGTTGTAGCGACGTTTTGGCAGAATCTCATCTGCCATCATCAGGCTTCTGTATTGGATTCGTCTGTGTGTCATGCTTTTGAACTCCTGGCAGTGGGCAGAATTAGCTTGCAATATGGCATTCTAACCACTGTGCCACCAGGAAGAAGAATGAGGACAGGAATAAGAGAGGAAAGAAAGAAAGAAGGGAGGGAGGGAGGAAGGGAGGGATAGCAATAGCACTTAGACTTATATACCGCTTCATAATGTTTTACAGCCCTCTCTAAGCTGTTTTACAGAGTCAGCCTCTTGCCCCCAACAATCTGGGTCCTCATTTTAATGACCTCAGAAGAACGGAAGGATGAGTCAACCTTGAGCCAGTGAGGATCAAACTCCTGACAGTGGGCAGATCCAGACTGCAATGTTGCATTCTAAACACCGTGCCACCATGGCTCCTTTTATAAACTGTTCGTGAAGATGAAAGCAGAGTGGGGGAAGCCCCCCAACTCCCCCAAAGCAGAACAAAATGGCAGACAGCTTCCCTTGCCTTTGGCCTCCCTTTCAGACATGTTCAATGACGTGGCTTATGTTTGAATCGCTGGGTGAGGAGTCACTTACACAATCACACTTGTCTTTTTTCCACAAAACTCCAATCTCTTTGAACTGCATCAACATCCCCTTCAAATTGCCAAGGACCAAAGCTGCAAGGACTGACTGTCGATGAAAGAATAATGTACACATTTAAAGACAGAAAACCATAATACAAGACGTAAAGAAAAACATGAGGGAGATTCGAATACCTCAGAATACAGGTAGTCCTGGACTTACAACTATTCATTTAGTGACCAAAGGTAACCATTCAAAGGTAACAATGTCACTGAAAAAAAAAAGACTTATGACCATTTTTCACATTTAACAACCGTTGCCGCATCCCCATGGTCACATCAAAATTCAGAGGCTTGGCAACTGACTCATATTTATGACAGTTGCAGTGTCTTGGGGTCATTTTTGCAAACTTCTGATACACAAAGTCAGTCAGGAAGCCAAATTCACTTAACAACTGTGTGATTAACTTAAGACCCACAGTGTTTCACTTCACCTCTGTGGCAAGATAAGTTGTAAAATGGGGCAAAATTCATTTAACAACTGTCTCACTTAGCAACAGAAATTTTGGGCTCAGTTGTGGGCTCTATTGTCAAGGGCTACCTGTTACAGAAAATGATTCCATCTTTAGCAACCCAACCCCACTCTACACAACCCAATGCAACACCCAACACAACACAACACAACACAGCCTAATCCAATGCAACCCAACCCAACCCAATGCAACCCAACCCAACCCAATGCCACCCAATTCAATGCAACCCAACCCAACCCAACCCTAGCCAACCCAATCCAACTCTAGCCAATGCAACCCACCACAACCCAAGCAACCCAATTCAATGCAACTCAACTCAACCCAACCCAACCCAACCCAACCCTAGCTAACCCAACCCTAACCAACACAATCCAATGCAGCCCAAGCAATCCAACCCGATTCAATGCAATCCAACCCAACCCAACCCAAAGCAACCCAACCCAATGCAACTCAACCCAACCACTAGGCCCCAAAGTTGGTACCTTTTGCAGTGGTTCCAAGAGAAATCCAATGGCTAAGATAGCAATCATGACAATGATAGCTGAGAGGAGTCCAGCAACCTGCAGGAAAAAAGCCCTTGATTAACACATTCCCTCTAAAACAACTTTGGAGAATTGATTTACCGCAAAAACCTTAAGTCACCAAATACCTGCGTCTTCCCTCCGGTGCTTTCTTGCACTCCAGACCTAGAGAGCGAAGTGCTCGCCGCAAATCCTTTGAACACCCCTCCAAAGATGTTGCTGATTCCAAAGGCAATCAATTCCTTTAAAACACACACATACACACAGACTGCAAGGTAATACAAATAGTTCCCGACTTACAACAGTTCACTTAGTGACCATTCGAAGTCACAACGGCACTGAAAAAAGTGACTTACGACCAGTTTCCCACACCTTCCCTCTTGTTAATCCTTTTGTATCCCCATCGTAATGAAAGCAGTAGCGAAGTGGCAGATCTGGCCCTTTGCTAGATGCTTACCTGGTTGGCATCTATGGGATAGTCATGCTTAATGGAATAAACTTTCGCCACCGAAAAGGCAACGGCGAAGCCGACAATGGCGATAGAGATACTGTCTCCCACACAACGTTCAAAGTACTTGATATCGGGAGCCACTGGGGCTTGAAATCTAGAGTGAAGACAGAGGAGGACTTTAAAATGGAGACCATGTGTCGTTTTGCTAACACTGCTTGACTCCATACAGATGGCTAAGTTAGAGAAAGACATTTCTGAACCCGGTTAGCTGATGCTTTGTCCCCTGCATTTATGGATCCAGGAAGCTCTGCAGGACATGGTTAAAAAAAAAAATCAGGTTGGTAACTCTGTGGTGCAATCCAAAAACTTTAACCTTAGACTGTCTACTATTGACCTTTCCTAAGAGGTCTGTAAGGGGCGTGCATAAGCGCACCATCGTGCCTACCATCCCTCTCCTATTGTTTCATTTATTTTTTTTATATGTATCCATGTATTCATAACTATGTTTTAACTTATACCTATTATCTTGTAAGCAATTGACAAAAATAAATAAACTAAACTAAACTAAACTAAGAAACTGCCCATTTGGATTAAGATAGCCATAGCACTTAGACTTACATACCACTTCATGGGGCTTTACAGCCCTCTCTAAGCAGTTTACAGAGTCAGCCTTTTGCCCCAAACAATCTGGGCCCTCATTTTACCCACCTCAGAAGGATGGAAGGCTGAGTCAACCTTGAGCCCGGTGGGATTCGAACTGCCAAAAAGTAGTTAGCTGGCAGTCAGCAGAAGTAGCCTGCAGTACTGCACTCTAACCATTGCGCCACCATGGCTAAGATAAGATTACCACTATTGTCATTATTTTTTTTCCTGTGGGCCACCTGGCACACATTAAAAATGAAATTCAGTTGCCTGCTCTCAAAAGTGTACACATACATAACACACATATAGACACGCTATATACATACACATGTATATAGCTACACCAGAGGTGGTATTCAGCCAGTTCTAACAGGTTCTGGAGAACCGGCAGCGGAAATTTTGAATAATTCGGAGAACCAGCAAATACCACCTCTGACAGGCCCCGCCTCCATCTCTTCTCTGCCTCCCAAGTCCCAACTGATTGGCTGGGTCTTCTTTGGTTGCCCTACACAGGAGAACGGAGCTGGAAAGCAGGTTAGTGGGGTGGGGAGGAATGGGGATTTTGCAGTAACCTTCCTCCAGGAGTGGGGTGGAAATGGAGATTTTACAGTATCCTTCTCCAGCCATGCCCACCAAGCCACACCCACCAAGCCAGACCCCACCCACCAAGCCAGACCCCACCCACCAAGCCACGCCCACAGAACTGGTAGTAAAAAAAAAATTAAATATCACCACTGAGCTACACCCTTAAATAAAAATGCATATAAATATTAAACATTGTCCATCTTGAATACATAGCAGAACGATTATCCCTCTATAGAAAGTGGTAAGGACAGAGGGAGGAAGGGAGATGTACTTTTATCATGCGATGCAGAAAATACAGGCACTGATGTGCCCGCTTCACAAGTGTCTTGTCGTTGAACGACCAAGCCAGACTGTATCAGCGGTGGTAGAGGGGGTGGGGGAGAGAATCACTCTGCAAAGGTCCTTTGATGGAGCGGTTCAAGGGTGTGGGGTCCTTGGTACTCTCTGGGCTTGGTGGTTTTCCTGCAGACATTTCATTACCCAACGAGGTTACATCATCAGTGCAAACCGTACTTCCTTCTAGCACTGATGATGTTGACTAGTTGGGTAATAGATGGTTGCAAGTCAAGGACTACCTTGTATGCTTAAGCTTACGGCCCATATGGTGGATTCCATTTACATTTAAATTGGACTGTGGAAGCTCTTCCAAATTATAATTGTGGCTAAATTTGAGCAGGAAGGGAAAAACAACCCCAAAGCTATCTGTTTCCATTAATACATGCAGATAGTGTCTACTTACCCAATATCTAATGTTCCAACGGTATCTACCCCAAATATTTCTTTGAAATTAAAGCCGTAAGATAGTCCAGCTGCTATGACTGTCTGGAAAGAAACACAACAAAACTATTTTAAAAAAAGCTTTGCAAGTTTTCAAGGGGCTGTTTCAATATTAACCTTCACCTTATTGTATAGGGTGCAAGCTCTTACAGAAAGATTGATTGCCTATTTAATTTTAGCCTGTCCTTTCAACATGAATGATGGAGAAAAACCATTACAGTTTTCATTGTCTTTACGCCTGAAAAACCTCTGAAACCTGAACCCAGATTTGTAGGTTCGAATTGGTGGAGATGTTTTTAACACTAAGGGCTCACGGGGTCATTTCTTTTTCGTGTCCGTGGGAAATCGAGAGTTCTCCCAGTTGAGGAACAAACTAATTTTTCACTATTGAGAAAATGCAACTTGGGTCGATTAAGGTCAGGGTTAAAGCATCTACTACTGGCCTAGCGGTTAAGAAGCTGGACTTGTCAACCAGAAGAATGGCAATTTGAGACCCTAGCACTGGGTGACGGGGTGAGCTCCCATTCCTTGCTCCAGCTCTTGCCCATCTAGCGGTGCATAAGCATGCAAATGTGACTAGATAAATAGGTACCACTTTGGTGGGAAGGTAACAGTGGTCATTGCACCTAGGCATAGTCATTTTGGCCACATGACCACAAAAAATGTCTTCAAACTATGCTGGCTCCCTCAGGCAACAAACGGAGATGAACATCGCCCCCTAGAGTCTGACACAACTGAACAGGGGAGAAACCTTTACCCATTTATCTTTATAGCATCTATTACGCAAGGATCTGAATGACCACTAGATGGCAGCAAATACGTACAATACTATTTGCTGCTCTCTAGTGGCTCTTGATCAAAAGCTTCATCTTGAGGTATACTTAAGATACAGGATTCAAGTACAGGATTTAAGCTCAATATTTAGCCCAAAGGATGCTAGAGCAGCTAAACAATGTAGGAATGAGATGGCAGTTGCCCTCATAACATACAAGGAAAAGCCTTAAGATGTCAGAAGAAAACAGCAAACTTAGGTTGTAGTTCATACGACAACCAAGTAGGGTGAAATCACCTGCTAGATCAGTGATGGCGAACCTTTGTGTTGTGGTGTGTCAAAAGTGTGCGCACGTTGGCACCCACAATGCAATGCACCCCACCCCCCTGTGCATTCATGCGCAATACTCCCCCCTTACCTGCACTGCACATGCGCGTGCCTCCCAGCTGATTTTTGGCCTGTTTGAGGTCATTTTTGCCCTCCCGGAGGCTTGAGGGAAGCCTCTGCTGCCTCAGGAGACAGAAAAATGGGCACTTCCGGAAATACAGGAAGTGCCCATTTTTAGACTCCGGAGCCCGGGGGAGACCATTTTCGCCCTCTTGGAGGCTTGAAGGAAGCCTCTGGAGCCTCTGGAGGCTGAAAATGGACCCCTTTTGGCAATTCCCATTTTTCGGCCTCCAAAGACTGCAGAGGCATCCCTCGAGCCTTTGGGAGAGCGAAAGCGGCTTCCCCTGGGCTCCAGAGGCCCCCCGGGAGGCTGAAAACAGGCACTTCCGGTATTTTAGGAAGTCCTGTTTTTCAGCCTACTGAGGCTGCAGAGGCTTCCCTCAAGCCTCCGGGAGGCCGAAAACAGCCTCAAACGGGCCGAAAATCAGCTGGGAGGTGCGTGCATGCACAGTGCAGATAAGTTTGGCTGGGGCTCGTGTGCCCATACAAATCGTTCTGCGTGCCACCTGTGGCATGTGTGCCATAGGTTCACCATCATGGTGCTAGATTATGGAGACATTTATTAGGTGTCAACTGAAATTGATCCAAAACAGCTGCTCTCTCATCAAAGGAACACCCCAATATTTCTTTTCTTTTTCTTGCATTCAAAGAACTTTTGCTAAGGGGTTGGTGGAATGCAACCTGCTTTCTTACAGTGGGGTAAAATTACCTAGGAACGTCAATTTGTAGCTATTAATATTTGAGGACCTTTTAGTAAAAACTCATAAACACGAGCAAACCACGCCAGGATGGTTTTAGTTGAAGCGGATATTTTTATGGAAATGGGAAAAGGATTGGCATCCTGTTGAATTCCTGATCAACGGTCCAATCTTGAGACTATTTCTGGAGGTGCTCATAAAGATTTTGAGCTTCCTGTGTGCTCTGAAGTTAGATATTGAGGCTTATCATTAAACAGTATTTATTTATGCACCAAAAACATCCCAGAAACATATCAGAAACCACCAACAGACTCTTACAACCACACTGTATCATAGTGGTACAAAATCCAACTAAGTCCTTCAAAACATCCTAAATAAACCCAAAGACCCAGCAGCTGAAGAAGAAAAAGCAGGAGCCATCTACAACAGTGGTCGCCAATGAGTGGGCCATGGACCACTGGTGGTCTGTGAGAAAATTTTGGTGGTCCGCAATGTTACCCCCAAAGCAATTAATCCAGGCTGTGCAGGAACACAAGGCTGCTCCGCCCACATGGCCTGTGGGAATACAAGGTTTGAGTCGCTTGCATTGTGAACAACACAAGGTAGTGAGGGGAGGGGGGAATGTGCGGGGGGGGGGGAACTTGCCCCATGCGCCCCAACGCACCTGGCCTGGCCACTGGGCTGCTTCTTTCCACTTCTTTCTCCTTCTGCTTTTGGCTGCACGCAAGGAAAGCCACAAAAGTCTTTCTTTCTCTCCCCCAAACTCCGCCAGAAATTAGTCTTTGGGACCCTGCAAGGCATCCTGCTCCAAGAGGCTGCGCCAGCAAAGACACATTTCTGACAGAGTTTGAGGGAGAGAAAGAAAGACTTCTGCTGTTTCTGCTGCTTTCCTTGCATTAAGCCAAAAGTCTCTCTCTCTCTCTCCCTTTGAGAACAGAGCTGGAGATGTTATCCTGCAATCCCAAATAAAGAACAATCGATCAGTAGGAAAACCGGGTGGGGAATTTTCCTGCAGACTTTTTTTGGGGGGATTTTCCCAGGTTCTCTGGTCCACGAGATGTAAAATTATGAGTTTGGTGGTCCCCGAGGTCCAAAAGGTCGGCAACCCCTGATCTACAACATACAGTGTAAGGACTGTAAGATCCGCTGTGGAGGACAAACAGACAGAACATTAGCAGAGCGCAGCCATGAGTGTACCAACTAGCAATCAAGAGATATGACAAAAACTCCTTCATTTCTCAACATGTGGACAAACCTAACCGTAGTTTCAAATGAGAAACTATGAACACAGACTAAGCCAAGTCCAAAAATGCTAGGCAATTCCTGGAAGTCGGCATTCAGACAAATCAGCCATCAACAGGCACGTAGAGATAAACAACATCTCCACACCGTTCAGAAGAGACAGTCAAAAAGCCAAAAAAAGAAACCAAAAGACCAAAACTTCAGCAATCAACACCCAAATCAACAGAGATGAACAGCAATTCTAATACTAGACCATCAAACAAGAAGTAAACAATACTGCAATGAAGAAGTTACCAACTCAGATAAGCAAGCGAACATCAAACAATGGTCTAATTAAGGAACCACCAAGAACACTCCCACCAACACTGATGGGGCAAACCACTTGTATACAAAACAGAGGGCAAACCCAACTCCTTTCACTGTTGACGTTACCTAGTTGGGTAATGAAACGTCTTTAACAAGAGAACCAAGTTCATAGACCACCAAGGACCTCATCTTTTATTTATACTCTTATTGCTTGGTTCCAGATGTGAAAAGTGACAATATTCTGGGTTTTTTTTTCTTTCACAGGCAGTCAGATCATAGAAATCAAGATGGTGGACATGACGAAACCTCATTCTTTTTGTCAGGTTCCAGCGATCGCCCTAATTAAATCATGAGCCTCGGGCCAAACTTCAAAAAACTTCAAATATTTTATTAGGAGCGACATACTGGCATGATCTGTATGAAGCCGAGTCTCAGACATGTAACTTATGATCACCTAGGGCCCTGTTTCCCTCCCCCACCCCTCTGGGTGTATCATAATTCAGATTGTCCAATGGAACACATTCATGGGCTGTGTTGTGGTTCACCGGCAACTGGTGTGGACGGCTGAGGTCTCAGAGAGTGAAGACTCAGATGAGGGGCCTGCATGTGATGCAGGGATGGGGCCAGGACCACCAGGGAGTGGAGTGCTGCCTTTGGAGATTGTGGAGGCTGGCAGCAGCGATGAAGAGGTCCCTGAGGAGCCTGTGCCCAGTGCGCGCAGGGCTGCTCGAAGGAAAGAGCAGCTAGCAGCACGGGCAACTCGGGAGTAAGGCTGTAAGGTAATGGCCCCTCCCTGAGAAAATAAAAGCCAGCTGAGAAACTGCAGTTCTTTGCAGAAGGCAAAGAAGTTTGATACTCGAGACTGGTGGACATCAGGAATATCTGAGTTGGTGTTTGGAGACTCTTTGATTTATTGTTTAGGAACTTTATCTGTTGTTCTTGGCAAGTTTTTGCAAGGCTCTTTCTTGTGGGAGTTAATTAGTTTGAAACAGCCTTTTATCTGTGCAGAAACAGAATTTGTACATGAAACAGTAAAAGGTTGTGCTGTTATCTTTGTCTTGTGTTTGCTGTCTTGGAACCAGGTTTGGGTTAGAACAGCTAGATGTCATCAATCACATTCTCCAATAGAGGATTTTTGCACCCAGAATACCCGGTTGCCTCAGTTGTAATCTTTGTGAGATAAGCTTGGAATGTGCTTCTGACCTCATTTTCTGTATGCTCCTTCAGGGTCTTCCCCCACTCCCCCGTTTCATATGGTAACTTGGAAACCAGCATAAGAATGTTTTGACATTTTTCTTATGTGCTTCCTATTAAGCAAAAAACTTCAGTCACATGATTGTGGCTGCCATCTTGATCCTTTTTCTCTTTTACCTGTCCCCAACTGAGGATGCCACTGTTTGAATAAATATTAGATGTAAACAGAACCCAAAACATCTAAATTTTTTTTTTTTTTAATGCTCTACTTGGGCTTACAAAAGAAACGGAGGCATTCTTACCACAATGACTTCAATAGGAATCGGTACCGGGAGTTTGGCTTTATAACGGTCGTTTAGTTCTTTCACCACACTCACGACGACTAAGATAATGAGTGCGGTGACTAAATCCGCAATATTGGTATCGGTGATTTGCTCAAATATACTTTTAAGGGTCTGTTAAAAAAGGAAGAACAGACTGTATAAGGTTAATGATAAAACAATAATTGATCAAAATGATATAAAACGTTGATTAGAATGATTACAAATATGAAATGGCTAAGATAAGAAATGTATGATATTATTATGTGCACAAGATGTATGTACCCAACCGACACACTGTTGAACTGAAAGATGGGTTTATTTGTTGTTTTTGTTATAAAAATTTAAAAAAATTAAAAAGGAAGAGTGGACTTAACACGATATAGTTGCAAATGATGAAGAAAGAACATGACAAATTGCATTTTCAGCTTCGCGAGTCACATTAAACAGAAAAGGGAGTTGGTTGTTATTAGGACCAAGGATTCTTGAAAAGAGAATCCATGCAAAATCATGCTTTATCATGGGCATTGATCATGGTTTGTTGATTTCACCAAACAAGAGACGGGCGAATTGTTTGTGACTGCATAGTTTATTCTTGGTTGGTTGGTTAGTTTTTTATTTATTTTTATTTATTTTATTTGGTTTGTCAATTGCTTACAAGATAATAGGTATAAGTAAAAACACAGTTATGAATACATGGATACATATAAGAAAAATAAATGAAACAATAGGACAGGGATACTAGGCACATTGGTGCGCTCATGCACACCCCCTACAGACCTCTTAGGAAAGAGGTGAGGTCAAGAGTAGACAGTCTAAGGTGAAAGTTTTTGGGGTTTGGGGAAGAAACCACAGAGTCAGGTAGAGTATTCCAGACATTGATCACTCTGTTGCTGAAGTCGTATTTCCTGCAATCAAGTTTGGTGCGATTAACCTTGAGTTTGTATCTATTGTTTGCTCTTTTATTGTTATGGTTGAAGCTGATTCAGTTCAATTGGTCAAAAAACGGCTTGGATCAATACAATAGTTTTTACACCAGAAAAAGCACTTGAATAGCCCAGAGCTTTTCTGATAGTTGCAGATAGTCCTCAACTTATGACCACAATTGAGCCCCAAATGCCCGTGGCTAAGCAAGACAGTCGTTAAGTGAGTATAGCCCCACATGACAACCATTTTTTGCCACAGCTGTTAAGTGAATCACTGCAGTTGTTCAGTTAGAAACCTGGTTGTTAAGTGAACCTGGCTTTTCCATTGACTTTGCTTCTCAGAAGGTTGCAAAAAGGGATTATGTGACACTGCGATCGTCATAAATATGAACCAGTTGCCAAGTGCCCAAACAGGGATGCTGCCATTGTTGTGAGGGGAAAAAAACCAGTCATAGATCAATTTTTAAGTGCTGTTGTAACTTCACTAACAAATGGTTGTAAGTCAACCACTACCAGAGGTGGTATTCAGCAGGTTCTGAACAGTTTTGAAGAACCGGTAGCGGAAATTTTGAGTAGTTTGGAGAACCAGCAAATACCAGCTCTGACTGGAGATTTTACAGTACCCTTCCCCTGCCATGCTCACCCAGCCACGCCCACAGAACCGGTGGTAAAAAAATTCGAATCCCACCACTGACCAGTACCTGTCCTTTACAAAACGACAACAATGCATAATAACACGTCTGAGATGTTTCCTGAGAAATAAGGGTTCGGGGTTTTGCAACACTCACCCAGATGAGTCCCAGGGGTTTGTTAAATGGCTCAACCGGTAGTTGGAAAATGAACTTTAGCTGAGACACAAAAACGTGTATCGCAGCTGCTGTTGTAAATCCGCTGATTAATGGCTGAGATAAATAGATGACGATGAAGCCAATGCGTAAGACACCTAAGATTAACTGGAATGGAAGAATAAGGACATTAGGGGTGGAAAAAGAAACGGGGATCTTGATGATCGCTCAGAAAAAACTGGAAATGTATTTATTTATTTTATTTATTTATTTTGATTTGTCAATTGCTTACAGGATAATAGGTATAAGTATAAATATAAAAAGATATAAGTATAAAATTAAATAATGGATATATATATATTAAATAGAAATCATCATTTTATATCAAGTGCAAAAGACAAGTCCATACGTAAAGATTTAATTAAGCTGATTTATTACTAAAAGTCTATACACTGAAATCTTCTCAACTAACAGTTAATCCCTTCTTAGAACTGGTTCATGTCCCAAAAAGTGCTTTTTCAAGAGGCAACTGGACTTTCTTGCTTTTTTCTTTTTAAGACGTTTCACTTCTCATCCCAGAAGCTTCTTCACCTCTGACTGGATGGTGGGGAATGGAAGGATTTATACTCCTTGCAGACAGCTGGTCATTTGCATCCTTTTAGAGGGTCGTTGAGGCCACTTGGAGGTTTATCTGTGTCCTCAGGGTCGCCTGATAATGTGAATGGTTCCTGTAGTCTGCAATTTTTCCAGCTGTCTGCAAGGAATACAAATCCTTCCATTCCCCACCATCCTGTCAGAGCTGAAGAAGCTTCTTGGATGAGAAGCAAAATGTATTTTAAAAAATCAGAAAGTCCAGTTGCCTCCTGAAAAAGCACCTTGACTTGGATGATGGAGAATCTCTACAGACAATACTGGTTAATGGAATTCAAGGCAGGCTGGATTTGATCCGTTGGTGGCTACGTAGGGATTCTAGGTTGATACCTCTTTTGACTACACCTGCAGTTTCTGCCATTTCTTCTCCTATAACTCTTACATTTGTAAGATATGACTTAATATAGGGTTGCTATTTTAGTAATGAAAATAATACTTAAATAGCAAATAATAGCGAATATTTTTATCTTCTCTCCTGCCTGTTTTTTTTAAATCAGCTTCTTTTCTATATCCTTTTAAAATCAATTTCTTTTGATCCAACAGAAGAAAGGAATTTGTGAATTTTGGACACAGATCACCCTCGACTTGCAACTATGCCTCTCGTGAAATAATTCTGAGGATTTGGAGATTTTTGTCATGCTTCTGAACCTGCCCTTAGAAACTAAGGGGTGTACTACTCTTTCTCTGCATTGTAGTTACTACTTCCATTAAGGACAAGACAGGAACAGAGGTGGCATCCAGCAGGTTCTGACCAGTTCTGGAGAACCGGTAGCAGAAATTTTGAGTAGTTCAGAGAACCTGTAGTGGAAATTTTGAGGAGTTCGCAGAACCAGTAGCGGAAATTTTGAGTAGTTTGGAGAACCAGTAGTGGAAATTTTGAGTAGTCCGGAGAACCGGTAGTGGAAATTTTGAGTAGTCTGGAGAACTGGTAGTAG